TTTTTTTTTTTTTTTTTTTTGAAATTTGATTGAGAATTCACGTGCGAGAATAGCGAGATATCTGTTCTTCTGTTCCTTTATCTTTTTCTGAAATGAGAAATATCTCAGGTGACTAGAAGTGTGGACACTGAGCATGGGAGGCTAAGTCCACAAGAACAGAAAACAGTTGATGCCATTGTTGCAGCAAGGTGGGTATCAGATTTAAATACCCTTATTAAATTTAACATTCTGTACGGACTCTCATAATTTTATATGCTTTCATTTCAGCAATTTCCCCCTTTCAATCGTTTTAGTTGGTGTCGGGGATGGACCGTGGGATACAATGAAAGAATTCGACGATAATATCCCCGCCCGTGCCTTCGATAATTTTCAGGTAAGCAGAGGCATGCCCTTACTTGCCTTTTGTTATCTAAAATCTGCTTGCTTTGCTTATCTTATATAACTGCAAATTTAAGAGACCCTTTTTCTTTTTGGTTCCCATCTCCCTTTAGTTTGTGAATTTTACTGCAATCATGTCAAAGAATGTTCCCCAGTCCCGGAAGGAGACAGAATTTGCACTTGCAGCTCTGATGGAGATTCCTTCTCAATATAAAGCCACCTTGGAGCTTAATCTACTAGGGTAAGAAGCGTTTATTCCATATGTTATTTTAGTAGGAAATTTTTTCGAAAGGGAATCATCATCTTTATTGTCACAATCATTTTATTCGTTCTTATCCCAGGACTCGGAAAGGCAATGCTCCAAAGAGGATTCCACTTCCTCCACCTGTTGCAGCATCTTTCAGCAGACCAAGACCTCCTCAATCCTATAATTTTCTGCCCAGCGTGCCTCCATATCCTGGGGATAATAATTCAATCGAAACTGTTCGTTCGATCGACCTTTCATCCTACGATGACAAGGTAATTTTTGTGTGCTGTGATGTGGACTTGTTTGACTACCGCTCTCTAACTCTGAGTGTTGCAACTAGTTTTATTTGTCCTAGTGAGTCTTGGATGATTTTTAGAACGATTCTTAAAAGCTTAAAAACATTTTATTTTATGTAAACTGTGAGATCCCACGGTTGGAGAGAGAAATGAAACATTTTTTATAAGAGTGTGGAAACCTCTCCCTAGCAGACACATTTTAAAAGCTTTGAGGGAGCTCGGAAGGGAAAACTCAAAGAGGGCATTATCTGCTAGCTAGCGGTGGACTTGAGCTGCTTATATAAACATAAGCATAGTTCTACCGATTCTTGTATTGTTGGTCATTATCTCAGGGTGGCTCCATACCACTAAGATTTTGATTTAAGAACGTTACCATATCTATTTTCATTGTTACTTTAAGAGTTCTTATCTCAATACCAACCGCTAGTTTTTCTGCTCACAGTTATGCGGCATTTGCCTTAGTAACCCAAAGGACTTGGCATTTGGTTGTGGACATCAGGTAATCTTCTGTGCTTCAAGTTTATAAGTATTACTAAAATTTGAGTTCTTTACCCTAACAAATGTGCTCGTCAATTGCAGACTTGTGGCGAATGCGGACAGGATCTTCAAATATGCCCGTTCTGCCGGAGTGCAATCCACACACGGTTAAAGCTCTACTGATCAAATCTCAACGAGTCATACTCGTCGAAACAATCATCATGCAAGTTCGTGATATGATACACAGGCATAATGCCTCGATATCGAACAATTGCTTGGCCCTATAGATGTGAAAATGTAGGCAAACAATTCTATTCATACCTTTTGTTACAGAATGATGCTTTTATCAAAGTTTGATGGTTTGAGTCTTCTTGGTTCCAGTAGCCATGGTCAGAGGAGGAAGGAGGTGTTGAAAAGGAAATTTGGCCACTGGAATTCATTTTTTTCTTTCTTAAATTTATTTATCCATTGTCTTTGCACATAGAAAAATATGTTATGTAATGTAATGTAATGATATTTTTGTGCACTTTTCGGCAAGTTACTTTATCAATGAAAAATAAGGTAAATTTATCCTCTCAGGGTTTTACATTTGTTGTTTAAGATGGATAAGTAATTGTATTTTAATATTTTGAGGTATTAAAATAGAATACTATCTTAAAAGTTTCGTGACAAAAATGCTCTACAAATTTAAGAATTAAAATGAAATTTAAACTATGATTGATTACCGACTCAACCAACCCGATTTTTCCAATCCAAAATGCTCTACAAGTTTAAATCAAGTCATTCACAGCATGAACTCAAGGCCAAACTGAATTTTCTAGTAATATCCACTTGAGAAAAGAGAGAAAAAAAAGCTTTGAAATTTCCCAACAATCGTGAACCTGTGCTTTCGTCGTTCTCACTCCTCCATAGCATCGCCTCCTTCGATTACCTCGACTTTTTCCTTCAATGGCGTAATCTTTGTCAGCAGAACCTCTGTAGTTCAAGAAAGCACGAGTCATCGGTCGAGCAATGGGGGCATAAGGGATGTGGAAAGAGAAACAAAACATGAAAGCTATGAGTAAACAGATGACTAACCCGTTTTTTTGGGGAAGGAATAGCCTTTTGAACTGACATACGTACGAGGATTCGGCAACAGGTGGTTTCTCATATAATCCTTTTGGCCCTGCGAGTCATCGATATACTTTTTAGATGCATATTTTCCTTTATTATCTTCACAGAAATCGAGGCACATTAAGAACACGAACCTTGGTAATAACACAAACATCAACGTTACTTCCACTCCCCAAATCGTTAAATATCCCAGAACATATCGCCTCGGTTACCAGCCGAATCCCTTCATCCCTCTACAACAAGGAAATAAAAGCTCACCAATCACCATGGTAAGATACACCAAGTTGTTCAAATTTAGCTGTATCTATATAAGCACATGAACTTACAGTCAGGCCTTCTTTGTACTTTGATTCAAAAACAGACATTGCAGCTAGAGAACCTGATCCCATTGTAGCATATGGCAATGTGTCGGTGGATCCGTGAGGATAAATCTGCAGATGAAGTGCATTAAAAGATGGAAAGTTGCGCAACATAAAATCGTTTGTTTTCCAGAACAGAACTCACAGTATGTAAATGAGGTCCAGTAACATCGACTCCACCAAGCACCAAAGCGGCTGAAACGTAGCCTCGATAACTGGAGAACACAAGGATGGGAAAACTTAAAATTCATGCTACAAATAGATGAGAGATATGGAAAAAATCCAAGTAGACAAAACAAAGGCTATACCCAAAAAGGTGTTTCTTGAGAAGGGTCAGAGCGGTAACAACCCTTGATTCTCGACCGGTGTGGTAACGATGCAATTGCAATTGAGAGCTAACCATGTCTTAAAAAATGCAAGAATAGTAGAATTCGTTATGTTCGAGGAACAATATTGACAAAACTAACTAGCAGAAGCAAGATACCACCAACTACCTGTTACTGCCTCTGTATCAGCAGCCGTTCCTGCTCCACAACAATATATGTTTGGTGCCATATAGTGAATTTTCTCACAGTTCTTGTCAGCAACAATAGGGCCTTCAGTAGCACGTGTATCTGCCCCAAGAATAACACCATCCTGAAGCAACTCAGGAAGATTAAACAAAACATTTATTCGAATTTACAAACTTCGGTGTATTCTAACATAATTGAAAAGAAGAAAACATGTAGTCGCATTACATTTGCTAAGTAACTGGACCAGACTACTCAATTCAGTCATCTTCTTAAAAAATGATGGGAACATTATCAACAAAGTGAATGCTTAAATGCTTCAGACAACACAACCAGAAGATAGCAATTTTAGTACCACTAAGACGTTTCCCCATTTAAAAATTTCTTCATACAAAGAATATCTGCTACACTTTGATGTATATGCATTAGGAGATATTGGGAGACTAATAAAAGATTTCTCGATAAAGATAATGTCCGGAAGAACAACATTTGGCTCCAAAAAACAACTGAAAAATAATAAGATTGATCTATGTTACAAGAGTAGCCGATTACCTTGAAGATTAAACCCACAATGGTAGTTCCAGTCTTAAGGTAAGACGGAGATTTAAGACCTTTCTTTGCAAGCATATCATTTCTTCTGCAGAGATCAAAATTAAAGCCACCCTTGGGAGGGGCATCAATTGCAGTGCTAGACATAGCTAAATTTCAAGTGCACCTGCAAAGTTGAAACAAAAATATCGAACTGGCTTCGGGTCGAAAATCAACAGGAAAAATAAAAAATAAAAATCAATCAACCCACAACTTGTTACAATATGCTTCCAAGAATCCAACTAGATCATTGTTCCTAACGTTGAACCAAATTAACGGGTCGCTTCGCTACACCCAGAAATTCAAGATAACATAAATGAAACAAACTTCATGAGTGAAATCTCGGAACCTCAACCAAGACTAAAGAGTCGCGATACACTCCCAACCTATAATCACAAAGAATGAATATCCACCAGAAATCAAACATGGAAAAGTAGAAGGGAAAAAAAATCCCCATTTCCTAACACTTAAATTCCATCCCGAGTCTTTCAAGCAATACAATACCAAAAAATTTATAAGCCAAAGGTTTATTATTACTTCATTTGATGATCTAACAAAGAACTAAGAAAATTATCAACAGAAGTAGTATCTCAAATTCCCAGTTCGCCAGGAGCGGGCAGATTAAAATGGCAACAGAAAATGGATGAACACGAAGAACGGAAGAACTGGAAGATTCAGATTTGTAAAAATCAAACCTGAAAACGAGGAAAATGGAGGATCCAAGTTGGGGAGCAGCGAGAGTTGGAGGGAAGTTTGAGCGAATTACCTCCTCTCCTCGTTTCTCTGTCTAAAAAGCCAATAACTTGCAGAGAAGGAAAAGACATTTTTTTAAAAATATATATATAACAAAAAAGAAAAAAAAAAAGAAAAAAAAAAGGGTGAAATAGAACTTGAAGTATGGGCCAGAAACTTAGCATAATTAGTATTGGGCCTGAAAGTTCTACAAGCCCATTTGGTTTGCTTTATGACATGGCGTATTTAAGAATATTATAAATAAATTTTTATTGGACAAATTAATTTATAAAAAAAAAAAAAAAATTACATCTATTAGTGAATACATAAGCGTCTATTACTCTTACTATAAATATTTTAAGGGTTTTTTGGACTTTTCAAATATTTTATTTAAATATTTGGAACGAGGTTAAAATTGCCATATTTATAAACATTTTTATTTTGTGCTAAATTTGCTATTATATTTAGGTTAAACGGTTTTCTATGTAATTTCTCTTATATATTTAAAAAAAAAAAAACCAAGATAAAATTACATTTCTAGTCATTTGGGAGTTTTTAAACTGTTATTTTAGCCTCTAAAATTTTATTTAGTAGTATTTTGATGTGACAATTTATTTTTAATATAAAAAAATTAATGATATTTTTTAAATAAAATATTTACGGTTTCAGGTAAAAATATTTCTTGAAATTTTTAAAAGTTTAAAGATACTATTAAAACATCTTAAAGTTTATGGGTATTTTTATTCATTTATATATATATATATATTTATAATTATGGAGAGAGAAAAGTAGATTTTTTAACATTATTTTAGGACAAAATAAAATGCAATAAAATAGGAAGGAAAACAAAATATTTTGCAAAAAAAGGATAAAAAAAAAGTTGGAACAGAAAATATCTTTTATCTTGTCTGGTAGGAGCAAGCCATTGGCCCAACCAATAATGAAAGTAGAAAATGGCCACAAATGAAAACAACTTATCTCTGAATCCATGTCCCAAAGCCTGGTTAGTTCAAGCACCGATCCTTGATGCTAGCCATTGACATAACCACCCAGCCATGGCTTCTTCCCAATCCTGGTTCAAGCTCGGGAAAAGCACAGCCGCCCCGGCAGTTGCGGCAGCGGCGACCCCTCCTTTATGCTTCAAAAACCATTGCCAATCTACAAGAAAACAGCCAAACAAGACAAGAATCCACAGCAGCTGCAGGCAATATCAGACGCCAGGTTCTTACCTCACAAGGAAGAATTAAGCTTAATGCATACCCGGATCGAGAATTCTATGCTTTTCCACGGTTTGTTACTCATGTCGACAATGGCTTCATTTCCACTTTAACCAATTTGTATCGGGAAAGGCTGCGTCCGGGTATCGAAGTCCTCGACTTGATGAGCTCTTGGGTTAGCCATCTCCCTAAAGAAGTCGAGTACAAACGAGTGGTTGGACATGGCCTAAATGCTCAGGAGCTTGCTAAGAACTCCCAACTTGATTACTTCTTTGTGAAGGATCTTAATGAAGATCAGAAGCTTGAGTTGGAGAGTTGCAGTATTGATGCAGTTGTGTGCACTGTTAGTGTGCAGTATCTTCAACAGCCCGAGAAGGTTGCTTTAAGTCTTATTGATTATGTGTTTCTTCTGTACATTGTTTCCATTATGCAGTTGCAAGGAGCAGTTCTATGCATCGAATTATGTCCATAAATTACACCCGAAATCTGTATCTATAACGATCCAAGCCCACTGTAGCAGATATTGTTCTCTTTGGGCTTTCCTTTTCGAGCTTCCCCTCAAGGTTTTTAAAACGCGTCTGTTAAGAATAGGTTTTCACACCCTTATAAATAATATTTCGTTCTCCTATCCAACTGACGTGGAATCTCACAATCCACCCCCCTTCGGAGTCCAGCGTTCTCGCTAGCACACCGTTCGGTGTCCCACCCCCTTTCGAGGCCCAGCGTCCTCACTAACACACCGCCCAGTATCCGGCCTTCGGGACCCAGCATCCTCGTTGGCACACCGCCCAGTGCCCACCCTCTTCGAGACCCAACATCCTCATTGGTACACCGCCTAGTGTCCACCACCTTCGGGGTTCAGCATCCTCGCTGACACACCGCCCAGTGTTTGATTCTGATACCATTTGTAACGGCCCAAGCCCACCACTAGCAGATATTGTCCTCTATGAGATTTCCCTAGCAGACGCGTTTTAAAAACCTTGAGGTGGGCTAAAAGAGGACAATATCTGCAAACAGTAGGCTTAGGCCGTTACAGTATCTTTTGAGCTCGGAGGA